GGGGGGGGCTTCAGGGGGGGCTTTGGGGGTCCTTGGGGGGTCCTGGGGGAGCTCGGGGGGTCCTGGGGGGGGCTTGGGGGGGGCTTGGAGGGATTGAAGGGTCCCAGGGGGTCCTGGGGGGGCTTGAGGGGGTCCTGGGGGGTGGCTTTGGGTCGGTTTTGGGTTGGTTTTGAGAGGTTTTGGGTCGGTTTTGAGGGGTTTTGGGTCGGTTTTGAGAGGTTTTGGGTCGGTTTTGAGAGGTTTTGGGTCGGTTTTGAGGGGTTTTGGGTCGGTTTTGAGAGGTTTTGGGTCGGTTTTGAGAGGATTTGGGTCGGTTTTGAGGGGTTTTGGGTCGCTTTTGAGAGGTTTTGGGTCGGTTTTGAGGGGTTTTGGGTCGGTTTTCAGTGGTTTTGGGTCGGTTTTGGGTTGGTTTTGAGAGGTTTTGGGTCGGTTTTGAGGGGTTTTGGGTCGGTTTTGAGAGGTTTTGGGTCGGTTTTGAGGGGTTTTGGGTCGGTTTTGAGAGGTTTTGGGTCGGTTTTGAGGGGTTTTGGGTCAGTTTTGAGGGGTTTTGGGTCGGTTTTCAGTGGTTTTGGGTCGGTTTTGAGGGGTTTTGGGTCAGTTTTGAGGGGTTTTGGGTCGGTTTTGAGGGGTTTTGGGGTGGTTTTGAGGCGCTCTCAGTGGTCCTGTGAGGTCCCACAAAGGATCTGGGAGGTCCTGAAGGATCCTGGAGGGATTTTGAGGAGATCTGGGGATGTCCCACGTCCCACCCAGCGCCACCCCCGCTGTCCCACTGATGTCCCCACGTGTCCCCACCCCAGCAAATCATGAAGGACAAATGGATCAACATCGGCTACGAAGGGGACGAGCTGACGCCCTACACGGAGCCCCAGGAGGACTTTGGGGACACCAAACGCATCGGTGAGGGACCTTTGGGGACATTGGGGACAGCGCCGGGGGCGCGGCCGGCGCGGTGACAAGCCCGGCGTGTCCCCAGAGGTGATGGTGGGCATGGGCTACACGAGGGAGGAGATCAAGGAGGCCCTGAGCACGCACAAGTACAACGAGGTGACGGCCACCTACCTGCTGCTGGGGCGGCGCGGAGAGGTGGGTGACACCGGGGGACATCGGGGACACTGGGGACACTGGGGACATTGGGGACATTGGGGACACTGGGGACACTGGGGACACTGGGGACATTGGGGACACTGGGGACATTGGGGACATTGGGGACATCGGGGACACGGCCACCTACCTGCTGCTGGGGCGGCACGGAGAGGTGGGTGACACCGGGGGACATCGGGGACACTGGGGACACTGGGGACATTGGGGACACTGGGGACACTGGGGACAGTGGGGGGATTGGGGACATTTGGGGGTTGGGGACCTTGAGGGGGTGTTGGGGACATTGGGGATGTTGATGGCCCTGTGACCCTGGGGACAGCCTGAGGGTGGCAGGGGTGGCTCTGGTGACACTGACCCTGGTGACACTGTGACCTTGGGGACAGCCCGAGGGTGGCAGTGCTCTGTCCCTGGTGGCTCTGGTGACACTGTGACCTTGGGGACAGCCCGAGGGTGGCAGTGCTCTGTCCCTGTCACGGCTGCGGGGTCCGGCCGAGGCCCCCAACGGTGCCACCAAGTCGGGGACGTCGGGGACCCACGGGAAGGGACAGCGCGGGGGGGGCCACCACCGGCAACGGCGACACAGCGACTTCTGTGAGTGACACTGGGGACAC